TGTGGCGCGAAGCACATTTCGAAGTCAAAAGTGTTAAAAAACTGGCGGTCTCGGACCACTTTTGGAAGTTGAGATGTCGAAAAAGTGCACGCCGTTGTGGCGCGAAGCACATTTCCAAGTCAAAATGTACAAAACACCTCAGCTTCGGACCGCTTTTGGAAGTTGAGATGTCGAAAAAGTGCACGCCGTTGTGGCGCGAAGCACATTTCCAAGTCAAAAGTGTAAAAAACTGGCGGTCTCGGACCACTTTTGGAAGTTGAGATGTCGAAAAAGTGCACGCCGTTGTGGCGCGAAGCACATTTCCAAGTCAAAATGTACAAAACACACCAGGCCCGGACCACTTTTGGAAGTCAAGATGTCGAAAAAGTGCACGCCGTTGTGGCGCGAAGCACATTCTGAAGTCAAAAGTGTTAAAAACTGGCGGTCTCCGACCACGTTTGGAAGCTAGACAGAGAGACAGATGAAAGAGAGAGAGAGAGAGATAGATCGATAGATAGATAGATAGATACATAGCTAGACAGATAGACAGGTAGACAGCTAGACAGAGAGACAGATGAAAGAGAGAGAGATAGATCGATAGATAGATAGATAGATAGATACATAGATAGATAGATAGATTGGTAGGTAGGTAGCTAGGTGCACCATAGATAGATAGGTAGACAGACAGACAGACAAACAGATAGATAGATAGATAGATAGATAGACAGGTAGACAGCTAGACAGCTAGACAGATAGACCGATGAGAGAGAGAGAGAGATAGATAGATAAATAGATAGACAGGTAGACAGCTAGACAGATAGACAGATGAAAGAGAGAGAGAGATAGATAGATAGATAGATAGATCGATAGATAGATAGATAGATAGATAGAGTAATCAAATGAAAGAGAGAGAGGGAGAGATAGATAGCTAGATAGATAGATAGCTAGATAGATAGATAGATACATAGCTAGATAGATAGGTAGGTAGGTAGACAGTCAGAGAAAGAGTGAGAGAGATCAATCGTCTTTCGATCCATCAGTGGCTTCGCTCTGCCATCCCTGATTCACAACAACCAATCTCTCCTATAGGTTTCCTATTTTTGAAACTTCCGCAACCGCCTTGTGCGGTACTACTGGTATCGACCAATTTGGATTCAAAATGTGCGCGCGCGACGTGTCGGCGCAAACCGTGGACGCCATCAAAAATTGTGGATTGACAACGCAAAACTATATGGGTTTCATTTGATATATCGATACATTTTCTTTAAATACATAATAAATATTTTCTTAAAATGTATGCGTGTACATGTTTACAAATATATCCATATATGTATATCTCTACATTTTATATTGAAACACACACATATATATATACATATATATTTATTTATTTATTTTTGTAGTTATTATATATATATATGTTTAAATATAGTCAGCATGTACAGTACATGGTTTTCACCACCACCAAACACCGAAACAAAGAAACGCCACTTGTTTCTATCGAGGCCCGGTGGATGATGCCCGGCACCGCCGGGCACCGCCGGGGGCGCAGTTTGGGGATTGAACCATAGGGATTCAACGGGATTTCACAAAAAGGGGTTTCCATAAATGGGGGTACCCCCTTTGGATGGTTTATAGTATAATCTATAGTGGAAAATATGGAAAATCCTATTAAAATGGATGATTTGGAAATACACCATTTTAGGAAACAATATTGAGATATTGGGATATACAGAACCAACTTATGACCAAACTCCGATTTTTAATCAACCCCATTCCAAGGTAAAGGACATGGACCTTTTAAGAGACCATCTTTCAATGGGGGTGGCATCCATGCCATTTTGGATCTGCGAAACTGTAGTTATTTGGGTGTACCAACATTTTTCACACACAACCATGTTACAACTTGATTTTAGTTTTTGAATTTTGATCCCACAGCAAGGCATCCACCAACAATTCAGCTACCCATGATCTTGATCTTCAAATGGGTTTGTGTGCAGTGCTATACCCCCAATGTGGCCTTAAGGAACATGATGAACGATGGGATTTGAGATGTTTCCCCAACATGTTCAATCAAACCCACATGTGGCAAGGTTTGCAGCCGGAAAACAGGTTCAAAAACACACGACATGTCCAATCCCCAGTAGGATTGGTACACCATTTCATTTTGATGAAATTGAGATTTTTGGGAAGAATTCGGTATATCCAATTGCAGAACAAATCCACCCGTATATATTTGTGCTGCGATGGTGTTGGTTTCTTCCCAGCCGCGACGACTTCTTAGCCGCGGGGCACCAAGACCATCCAACACCCAAAACCGCCTTAGGCGCCGAAGGCTGCCGAACAGCAGTTTCACCTTGGCCAAAAAACAGCAGGATTCAGTAGAAAAGCAAAGCCAGTGAAACCTGCAATGACAAGTGCATTATGTTTGGGACAACTTTCGGAACAATGTCAAACATGAATCGAAAATAAATATGTATATCCTAGCTTCGGGGTAGTTCACATGGGTCAAAGGGAACACTTTGCAGCAGACCATTTTCTTACCTCGCCATTTCGCGCGCTTTCGCAAACTTACTTTTGATCCCTTGGGATGATTTTTGACAGATGTTCAGCAGTTGGATTGCCAGCGTCATGATATCCCAAGAAATCTCCTATCCACATGGGGATGTTGGGCCGCAGCGATTCAGCTCAAGCTCCCCTGAGATCCCTATCAGGTGAGTTTTGGGCGGCTGAATCCGAGAGAAACATCAACAATTCTCTCCCTTAACGTAGCAATAAATCGATTCCATGAGACTAACAATGCTGCTTTGGCCACGATTTCAGTGGCGGCCGGGATGGCTTGGGGTGTGAAGGGACGATTTCCCATGATGGTAAAAGGAACGGCACATTTCAAAGCCATGCTGGCACCACAAGCTGTATATACGCGGAGTTGCTGTTGGTTGGTTGTCTCAGTTGTACGTATCTCTTTGAGATATCTCATCCCGCGGCTGTCAAGTCGTTGGGTATCCATGGTTCCGTGGGTTTGGATCCAACCATTTGGGGAGTCAAAATGATCAAAAGGTCTTCGATTTGAACCCAAAAGTTAGGTAGCAACAAGAATTTGTTCATTTTGTTCGACAGTGTCCTTTTACTGGCAAAATTTGTTGCACGAATTCCCTTCTTTGCACTTTGACAGGGGTCCTCAATATTCCTCAATAAGATTGAAACAGATCATTTTCTCCTTTTCAATGTATTATTTTTCAGTTACAATGAATTGTTTCTGTGAAGCATTCGACATATTCTGGGCAAATCATGCTGGCATCACAGCAGAGCTAGGATTTCTATGGGAAGTTGGTGGTACCCAGAGATGGTTTGTTTATAATGGAAACAATACCCAATATATACCCAAACAACATATTGATTTTCCATTATATACCAATATGATATTGAGGATTTATGTTGGTTTATATAGGAAACTATAATTTCTATTGGTTTATATTGAGGATATACCCAAACAATCCTCATTTTTTTCGGCCAGCAATGAATGGATTATGAATCAGCAATATATGGATATATATGGTTATATACATAACAATTCATTAGTTAGATAAAAGTTCCATAAATTATACGTACTAAATATGTCCTAAATTGTATGGACGAATATTGTTATATTACCCAAAATACGCTTAAAATGAATGATGACTGGGGCACCATGGAAAATTTCCAATCCCTCCCAGGAGCGACGACGGAAATTTCAGCTGGAAAATTGAAGACTTGGTTATTATACAAAGCTACTTTGAGATTATTACTTTTGGATACTTCTGAGATTCTGGGTCATTTCTAGTTGATTCTACTATCTTTTACCATACTGGCAATGGTCTATCATCATTTTCCCTTTCTTAAGTTGCTACCCATACTCAAAAGTCAGAACATCGCCAGTTTTCTATACCCAATACAAACAAAGCTTATTATGTAACCATTGGCACGGGCACCCTATATAAATTGTCACGAGCACCCCAGTGCCCAAAAACACCTATTGATGGGATCCTCAGACCTGCCAGACATATTGGGTAATACTACTGTAATTAGTAAACACCAATATGTCCAGTAAAATAGTGTTTACTGGATAGATATATATGATTAATGATTAATGATAGATATTTTTAGTGTAAACACCATTAACTACATTATATATGCTGATATCCATTGTAGTAATGGATATATAATGGTGATAATGCACAAAAAATATAGTATATGGTTAGACCGGATAGATAAGTAGCAAAAGGGCAGTGCTAAATAGAACATACAACAGGAGATAGATATTGTATACTACTTCTATTACCGTCCATAGGTATTCTCATTCAGTCTCGGTGGATAATATAGAAGGGACATATAAATTGTACCATAATCACGCTCCCATGTAGCAATATGTTATATCTTTGGGAAGACACATTGTATTTTTGTCTCATCATATAATGTTGGTATCTATCTAAACATATAAAATCATAGTCTTCCCATGTTCCCATTATATAGTTAGCCTATTCCCATTCTCATGTGCCTAGCATTAGCATCAATATATATAGGTAGCATATAAATTACTATTATTGCCACTATGTATGTGTCTACATGTTACATATACATATACTATACATACACATAAGATCAATACCTTCATACATAGCATCACATATAAGATCACTTAGTAAGATTCTTATCATTATCATAAGGCGTATGTGACCATCGGAACCATATTCTTACGGCCAGGCGCGGTGTGTTGCCCGGAAGGTTCAAATGGCGTTTAAACATGTTTAAACATTATCCTTCAACATGCTCAAACACCTGCGCAGGGCCAGTGTTTTGAGATTTCCCAGACGACGAACCCTAAACCCTAAAACCCTAAACCATCCTAAACCCAAAAAAACCCAAAAACCCAAAAACCCTAAAACACCAAACCCTAAAACCCTAAACCCTAGAACCTAGGCTCTGAAAACTTTGAATCCTAAACTGGAAAACACTGCGTATACCAGTATTTTCTGCAATCTCTCCTATCATATATTCGACAGCACGACATTCTCAATGTCAATGTCTGGGCAACACACGGCGTCTGTGGGTATTCTTACCATCGTAATCATTATAGTGCAATCATAACCACGATAGTACCATCATGAGCAGTTTTTTTTGCTGTCGTAACCAGTATAATCATGTATAATCATTATAATAGTACCGTGACAACCATGAAATATTGCCGCATTTTTTCCCAACCGGGGGGTGTGTCTGAAAACAAAAAGTACCTTTTTGGGTACCCCAGAGATCCCATATGAAAAAATAGGCTGCTTTTTGAATACCGAAAATTTTCAGAATCCGTGGTGGAAGATCAAAATGATCAAAATGCAAATCATCCGTTTGTCATTCAACTATGTTACCCTCTGGTTATTTAACATAGCTATGGAAAATGACCCATAGAAATAGATGATGTACCTATTAAAAGTGATGATTTTCCATGGCAAACTGTTAGTCATAACCATACCGGGTAGTATTGAAACCAACGGTTGGTGACGACTGGGGATCATTTCATGAAATCCAGACAGAAACATTCGTCACAAAACGGATTGGTTTAAGGGAAAATTGAAACCAGAACCAACACAAATCGGAAAATCCATGGTGTCCGAAATCGATTTTCCCCACAGGATTTTCCCCACAGTTGGCCGCCCAGGAAGCTATGGTGGTCGCTCTGGCTGTTGGACCTGGTCCACGCAGCCAAGGTGTCGGCGGCAAGCCGACGCCGACGCTGATCGGGGAGTTCAGCGAAAGATGGGGATTATAGCATGGATTAATAATGGTAATATGGAGGTTTACCAATAATGATCATTAATGGTGATATTATAAAAATGATGGTAATATTATTATACCAAAAAAATGATGAACATGGGAGATCTACCAATATTTTTTTGGTTTCATGGAGGTTTCATGGAGGTTTGATGAGGTTCATAGTAATTATCAGTGATCCAATGATATCCTTATTTTCCTATCCGATTTTTATGAGCTGACAATTTCTATGATTATTACAAAGGATAATTTATGAAAATAGTAGGTCAATAGTGATACTGTAAGTAATAAGTAATTTATGATTATAATTACTTAGTTACAAGTAATTTATGATGAGTGGGATAATGATTAGTACTATCAATAATACTACTCCCATTCATAGTGATTTCGAATCTCATTTCTGTATATGTGGTAAAGCCAATGCCAGTGGTAAACCCAATGCATTCGAAAACTTCCCAAATATATAGAGCTTTATAGCATTGGGTATACCACTATGACTGGGAGAATGGTGAATGGGATGGTTGGACTCCTCACTGCCGGTTGCAAAGCTGGGTTAATTTAACGGGGTTTGGTAAATGTCCCATTTTGGGGATTTGGAACATTGCTTTCAAGTATCTGTTGGAGATGATATCCCCAATATTTGGGTGATGTTCAATTAGGACATTTACTACATTTACCAACCCCTGTTTAATTTGGAATATGCAGAGCTGTCGCCTCGAACTTCCAAAAAGCCTCATGGCATCATGTCTTAGGTTCATCCACCGGGCAATGAATCTAAAAGGTGATACAGTGATACCTCAATGGACCCACAAAATCAGTTTATTTTTACCCTCTGCTTATTTAACATAGCGAACTGGACAATTGCCCATTTATAGATGACAAACATGATGGTTTAGCTATTAACAATTGTGATTTCTCATAGCTACGTTAACAACCAGAGGGTAATTTTTGGAGCCTTTAACCATTTTTTTTGAAGCGATCAATCATTTTGACCCTTTTTGCCTTCAGAAATCCTAAGTGGTGATCAATGAAACAAGAAAGTGGAATATATCAGATTATATCAGTACATCCCATTTTTCTAGCAGGGTTTCGAAATGGTTACACAAAATGTTAGATACATCTCATGGCTGAAATTTGGTGACTGGTGAACTCCCCATGGTGACTGGGTATTTCCTGTACCTCAATTTTTCAATATGATTTCGAGAAAATGACGATCACCAAATGTTTTTGGGTGTACGCCTATTTGACAAACCCATATAGGTTGATAAACCATTAGTGTTACTACAGTAATACTTAATTTGAAGCAAAATTTGGGATGGTTTTGAATGGTTAACCCCACATTTTCTGATGGTTAAGTCATGTTAAATCCCAATTTTTGTTGGTTTTTTCCACGTCGCTGCCACCCTTCCTGCAGCATCTGCAGGTGCGACCGAGTGTCGTGACTGCTCCACTGAACTTGCTGGTCCAGGACCGGGTTGCAATCGTAACTGGGATGGTACACCCGTGGTATTTACAGTTTGCTATGGAAAATAAACATGTTTAATGGGTATCAACGAACTAAATGGCCATGTTCAATAGCTATGTTAAATTGCCAGACGG